TCTTGTAATGGGGAGGCAGATAGTTTAGCAAAGCAGGGGATCGGTTGGTTGTATGTTTTAGTTATAGTTTATTTTTCTATAGCTGTAGGTTCTTGAAGTAGCTGAAGTTGTTAAGTCTAATGTAAAATCATCTGCTGTATTGTTAAGTCTTATGTAATTCCGGTTTGGTAATAAAATGAGGCACTCTTTTCCTCCCTCCACTACTTGATCCTTTCTGTTAGGAAAGGGTCAACTATGAGGGAGGTTTTTAACGAGGCTTCCTATTCCTATCAAAAAAAAAAAATTCATTCAACAACTTAAATACATAAGATACATCCAGGAACAACACCCCTATGTAAAACATAAAACCATATAACGCCCTAAAGCAACCAAAAACAACAAAACAAACTTAGACTAAACCTACTAAGCTAGGTCCCCATCAGCTGCAGGTGAGTCCTGATTACCAAACTAGCAAAATAATTACAAAGAAAGAGCCTATACAACCGAAGAAAAATCAGAAAACAGTACAAGAAAAAGCCTTCTACACTCAACCAATCCCCTGCTTAGCTAGCCTGTCAGCCTCCAAATTACAACTCCTATGAATCCAATTAAGAACACAGCCTTTATCATAAATTACAGCCCCAATTTCCTCCACCAGATCACTGAAAAAGATAGGGGCAGATTGCAGTTTAAGAATCCAGTCCACTGCATTTTTGCAATCACTCTCTATAATTAATCTTCCCTTTTTAGCCCAATCAGACGAATAGAAGAAATCAATTCCTTCCTTAATAGCTTTTAGTTCTGCCAAAATAGGAAGACCAGGCCTTACTGCAGTAGAGAAAAAGGCTAAGGAACAGCTTTTAGAATCTCTCAAAATACCTCCAATTCTTCCTTGCATCCCATCTCCACTAACAGCCCCATCCACGTTAAGTTTAAACACATCCGAAGGAGGAGGAGTCCAGCCAATAAGCTTCTTTGGAGTAGAGGAAAGATGAAATTTATCAGCCCTCGAAGGATCCTCTATTAGTAGGTCAGTCTGAATCTGAACAGAAGGGTGTTTAGCTAAATACCATTTTGCCAACCTAAATCTAATAATAAAGTACAGACCGGATCTGTCAAATTTCCCATTTTCAAACACAACCAGATTCCTTGCCTTCCAAATTGACCAGAAAACAACAGCCGGGATGAACCTCCAAATAATAGAATTCTGCCTAAGGTTCGGCCAAGAAGAGAGAAGGGACGATGGACCTTGAGGGAGAACAGAAGAGATTTCCCATAACCTTAGAAAATTGATCCACATTTCCCTAGCAATAGAACACAATAAGAACAGGTGTTCTATGCTTTCTTCATGGGAATGGCATAAAGGACAAAGCACATCCGCCATGTGAATCCCTCTTTTTTTTTAATTCCACTCTCACTGCTAATTTGCGATGACAAATCTGCCACAAAAAAGTTTGGACTTTAGGAGGGGCTAGTCCAGCCCAACACTTTTTCCACTCAAAACTCCCTTCAGGCCGAGTTTTTCAGATCAGCTACATTTAATTAGCCAAGTCCCATATCTACTTTTCTGTCTTGTAGAATAAATAAGTCCAGGAAATCTTGGGTTCCATGGAATTAATGAATCATGCCATAACCATAGAGTCTTCTGACTCCCAAGTTGAGTAACCTGCTTCTCCTTCCTTTGGTTTTACTTCGGCGCCTATCAAGTAACCCAATTTTCCTTTGCCTCAGATTTCTAGCATAATCGAGACCATTCAGGAAAATCAGTCCCATTAAGTTTTTATTGGGTTATTTGGGGAGAATGGGATTCCCCACCAGTAATAATTGCAGATGAAGACATACTCGTAGAAGGTTCAGACTTCAGATAACACCTTTGAAGTCTGAACACTCTATAGTCACATCTGCCTCGACTGTTTTTAGCCAAAATAAAATCAAATAGCTCTGACTATGAAAACAGGGAAAAGAAAGAATTTATATAAAAGAGAACAGAAAGAAATTGGCTGTTTTCATTGAGGAATTCAGGTACATTATACAAAGAACTATCCCATTTCTAATGCTTAGAATCTGCTAATTATTTGGAATTAGGTAGCAAGAAGTTTGGGAATGATACGGAGTAATCAATGAAAAACAAACCTTGAACTAACTCCTAGAAATCTGGAAATTAATAAATTGATGAGCTGTCAACAGTGTTAAGTTTTACTGTTTTCAGCCAAATTGTCCCCTCTCATTATTCAGAAACACATGGTGTAATAAATAAATTGGGAACATGTTCCAAATTTGTAGATGGTTCGCCTCTTGGAGTCAGTTGTGTTTTTTTTTCACACTAGGATTTGGGTGTTGCTTTCGGTTATTTTGGTTTTTAGTGATGTGAGGCACGGGATAGGTGTGAGTTGGTATCGGATAGGGTTGTTCTTGTTTTATCTGGCCGTTTGAGTTCTTAGAGGTTTTCTGGTTTTTCTTGATTTGATGTCTGTATCTGGATTGGAGTGTTCTTTCCTCTAAGGTGTACTGGTTTGTTTATTTAATAAATCATGAGGTACTCTTTTCCTTCCAATTTTCGTTGACATATGGTTTAGTATGTTGATGATTATGAAGGGGGTTTTAACGAGGCCTCCAATTCTTATCAAAATAAAAATTGGGAACATGTAACTGTTCTTGCTAAGCACAAGATTCTTTTTGAAATATTAATTGGTGGTTGTGATGTTAGCAGGCTAAAGAAGCGGCTGAAAAGAAAGCTAAAGAATACTCGTTGGCCATGGAAACGTTGAAAACAGAGTTACTGAATGAGAAACGGCTCAGTAGCTCTGCAATTAACTTAGCCAAAAGAGCCAGCAAGGAAAGTGCTGCCATTAAGCGAGCCATACAATCACTCGGTTGCAGGGTTAACTTCACAAGTAATGGTGAATGTACTCTTGATGTTGAAAGCAATTCAACAAAAACTCGGGAAAAAATTATGCAGTTTCCTCCTATGAGGGAATCTGATGGTACAGTGCATGATGACAAGTCAGATTTATCTGTTTCAATTACAGTTGTGTCAGACGATGTGGTTTCCAGCAGTCCACTTGGTGGAGTATGTGAAACTTTATGTCCTCTGCGTACACGAGATGGCAGCTGCCAGTGGCCAAATGCTGGTTGTGCTCGGCTTGGTAGTCAGTTTGTTGGACTGAAGGCAAATTTTGATGCATTTGACCACCTTTCTATTTATGATAGTTATTTTGAGTCTGAATGAAAATATGGATTTGTAGTTTCTATATATAATCCAATGTCACAGGTTCAATACACAATACAAGAAACCAGAGATTTTCACTCTCTTGTTAGAAGCCGGCAGCATAAAGGTACCGTCCCTGCTTTTCAGATTCATCTGGGGATACCTTGTTTAGAGAATGTAGAATCATTTGTTATCTATCTAGTTTAGATACGGTAGAGGGCAGAAACTTGAACTTGTGCATTCAAGGAGCAATGCATTTGATGCTGGTTCAGTTCTCGGTACTTTCTTCAGTATAAGCTGCTATTACATGGCCGTTCTTTTCTTGAATAAGATTAGTTAGCGTAAAGATACCAAATTCCTGCACTATCACCCCATAATCAATGTATACTGATTGACTGGCTTCATACAGGTTCACTAGTAAAACTTCCTTTGCTTGATCTTCGTATGTTCTCTCACTCTTGCAAACAAGGTGTCTTCTTGGGTGTCAGGCTCATTTCCGAGTCGATTAATGAAGAAGATGACTTCATGCCTGCTTGAATGAAAATGGAAGCAGATATTAGCCTGTAACTAGATTGACTGGCATGGAGCACTATTCACTTGCCCATGGAATGTCATTTAGTACGTTTAGTATTCCCCTGGTTCTAGGAGTCAAAACCTTATATGCCGAGAAATTCCGAATTTCAGATGAAATTAGCGCCAAGAAGATTGTGTGCATGGATATTTGTCCCAGAAGATGAGGATTTTCAAGGCTTTCGGTGTTTGGAAGCTGTCCTTGTTTCTGTGCTTCGAGCAACCGCTCAGTAAACTGGCTTTGCACTTGGCAGCCACCAAGGTAACTAAACAAAGCTAACACAGTCGATTCTTTTGCTGATGTTTGTTGGTGAAAAAAGGAGACTATGGAGAGGATTCTGTAGTTAAATCCTTCTTACATTAATGATACGATGTAACAAAGGAATTTACACAATATCCCTTACGCTTTTGCCTTTGAATTTTCAGATATAAAATTATAAAATTATAATCAAATATCATTTAATTTGTTTATTGTTTTCTAGTATCATGTTTAAAATATATATTTTAAAATAATATGTTGAACATTTTCTTTTGAATAAAAAGGAGACCTAAGGCCTTAAGTTGGGAAAATATTACTTTACGCAATGACAAGGAGTACCAAGAATATTGTAAGATCTAATATCAACTAGCATATCAGGGGGTGATTCAAAGACTTCATAGATTCGTTAGGTGTCAGCTGGAGCAACCTATTTAGCAATGAAATCGACTGTCGAATTTGTTTCATGGTTTATCAGAATAAAGTCCACTGTTCATGCTTCGTGACAAAGGTAATCAATTGCTCGAACCAGAGAGTGCGGACTAGGGTGGGAGGTTGGCGTCAGCAACTTGTGGGCATGGACATTATCGGTTTGGACAATAAGGCGTTCAAACCCGTTTATCCATGCGAGGGAAAGATCCACAAAGACACCCATAGTTCAGTTTGGAGAATCGAGGATCAACCTTTTTTTTTATTGAAGGCCAGGAGATAGAAGCTAACACAGTCAATTTCTTGTGGTTCCGGGTACAAACACTATATATGTCAGGGTACATGAGTTTAAACTCAAATGATTGAGAGTTTCTGAATAATTAATATCTTATATTCACCTAAATTAATTTAAAAAAAAATTATAAACACTATTTTATCATTCAAATCTTATTTAAATTTTTTCTATGAAATTCGAAAGGTTACAACACGAAGGTATATACTAAAAACGAAGAAAATGGGCTTTATTTTCAAATCGGGGCAGTGGGCTGCACTCTTAAAACCCTAAAGTCGCAAAAGTTTCTGCAAAAAAGTTTAACCATGTTTCTGTCCAGATTTGTAGGGAGGACAGCTCTCTTGGCAGCTGCTAAATCAGAAAGCTCAGCCGCCGCCGCCGCATTTAACCCTCTTGAGCAGTTTTTTGAGGCTGATAGAAACCTCGATGATCAAAAAACCTGTCTACGGTACTTTCTTTCTATATTTTTCCGTTTTTCTGAACTCGGGTTTCCATTCGTCATTTCTTATTTGCTATAATAAAGTAAAAGCCACTGGAAATCTTTCATGTTCTTTCAAATTTTGAATCTGTGGATTACTGGTACCACTTACATGCTAGTTTATGTCATTCACTGCCTGCAATTGATTTGTTGTCTTATGCTTTTTAATGGGCACTGTTTCCCAATGGTGGAGTTACATTCCAACTTAAAAAAGTCCAAGATGTGATACAAATTGCAATTTTAAAGGCTTAGTCGAATTTTAGTAGTGTCCTTTATTTGAATAAACAACGATAACTACCTGTTAAAAAATGTAGATAACATTGTCATTCTAGCAAAAATCACTCTCTTGCATCATCTTAATCAACTTTCAGTTACCCACGGACGGAATCATAGCAGTGGCCGAAATATTAAACTATTTAATAAAAATATAAAGACTTATTACGTATTTAAACTCGAAATTCAGCATAGACCAATCAACCTTAGTAATTAAGGGATTGTTGTTATCCTTGAGTTCCCGGGTTCAAGCACTTATGTAGGGGTACGAGCGTTCATTGTCAAATACTTAAAAGTATTTATACATATATTACCTTGTATTCACTCTAAATTTAAAAAAAAAAACTCAAAAGACAACTTCTAATTTGTCTAATATTTAAACTTACAATGACTTAAATTGTAATTAGACCAAAAATTTGAGAACACAGACTTATCATTTTTTAGTTTTACCCCTACTTGATTAAATATTTAATAAATTTTTATAATTTTTAAATTTAAATATTTATTTTTACATAAACCAAAATACTATTAAATCAAAATTATATCGAATATATAAATTTTAACATGGGCCGGGGCCCCCTTGGGCCCTAAGGGAGCTCCGTCCCTGCAGTCACCTGAAATTTAATCCTGATGCTAGTGATGTCGTAATTAAGAAAATATTCAAGTTATGGCGCGCATACACCACAGACATCATTCTTCCTGCCACCTCGGGTGAAAAATCTATTTTATCACTCTGTATTTATAAAGTTATTTCCTGCTTGTTTAAACTGATAGTCATCCATTGTTTCACTAAATTTTGATTCAAAGGTTATCTGTTTGAAGTTGCTTGTTAGTAGGTGTTGTGGGATAGATTACAACTTTGGTATCAGTGTGATAGTCTCATTGGAATCTAATATGTGGTGGTATGCTTTAGTTTTGATAAACTGGTCGTGAATCACTACAACAAGATTCTTTCAGCAGATCTATGTATTTGCTGGAAATGCCATTTCCTTAAGGAGTACAACTTGTTTTTGTTAACTTTTCCTGGAGTAAAGGATACACTGGTATTGCAGTATTTTCCTCCGATTAGACAAACGATATTTTTATGTCAACAATTTCTGCATAAATTTGTATCTGGTAAATTAAACCTTAGTCCGAAGTCTTTAGTTTTCTGTTCATTTTTTTCATAATTAAACCAAATAAAGTTCTCAATCCCTGCCCTTAAAGCGCCAGCTGTAATTCAAGACCCGAGCCATGTAGCCATCATTCTAGTTCAAGTTCAAGGGCTTTTCTGATTTGTGCAATTCTTAAAATTTCATTGTTTCAGGTCGAAGTTGAAAGCTTCTGAACTGCGTCTAAAGTCCTGGGATGATCTCCATAAACTATGGTATGTTCTGTTGAAAGAGAAAAACATGCTGATGACACAACGACAGATGCTTCAAGCCCAGAACCTGCGTTTTCCCAATCCAGAACGCATCCCCAAGGTATAATAATCTAGCTGCTACTGCTTGTCATTTGATCTAATTTGTTTTGTTGCTGGAATATCCTCAAGGGTCTGTGTGGATGAGGTATTTTAGAAAGTAAATTCATTTGTTAGGATATGAAATGCTTTAAATCCAATTGCTTACTGGGTATTTTTCTTGCTGCTGCTGAAATTTAGGCGAGGAAGTCAATGTGCCGTATCAAGCAAGTACTTACAGAAAGAGCAATTGAAGATCCTGATCCGAGGAGGTCTGCTGAGATGAAGAAGATGATAAATGCTCTGTGATATTGTACTAAACTGCCTATCACTTTTCTTGAAGCCTTCCTATTGTTTTGTTGTAGAGATTTGATACTGCCCTACTGTTGCATGTGCAGGACTTTATCCTTCCATTATTGAATCAAAGACATCAGTTCTTTAGGGACATTACTGGTATGTCTTTATCTGTTTTGGATTCCAGCCACATAATCAAAAGAATGACCCATTGGGGTGTATTCAATCAATAATTGGATACTGCCCTACTGTTGCATGTGCAGGACTTTATCCTTCCATTATTGAATCAAAGACATCAGTTCTTTAGGGACATTATGGTATGTCTTTATCTGTTTTGGATTCCAGCCACATAATCAAAAGAATGACCCATTGGGGTGTATTCAATCAATAATTGCAGCTGATCATGAAGGAACACTCTTTAGTCTTTCCCTTCTGTACTACTTGACTTTCTGTCCTGAAAGTTTCTCTGTTAATTGGAAATTTTCGTTTATCGATTCAGTCAGCTAGAAATTTAGCCATAACTTGACTATTGCATCCAATTTTGGCTCTATAAGCATACGATTAAGAATTTAGTTGTAAAAACAGAATAGGTCTATTCGGTTGAAGAATGCAGATATCCACACTGAAAATTTTCTTATTATTGCTATTTTACTTTGATTTTAATCTGGGTTTTGATTTTACCTTTTGTTTCATTCTTTTTTGTTTATAATATTAAGTGTTCAAAGTAGTATCGAAATTGAATGATTTATCTTGACATAAACACTTTCAAAATCATGATCATTTGGATTATTTTTACGCTTTCCAGAACTAGATTCAATGTCATTGACTTTAAAGAATTAATTGACATTTTTCAATGTCATACAATTTGTAATTTCATTATCATATATTATTTACAGTTAATTGACATTTTTCACGATATATAATTTGTAAATTTCATATTCATTGTATATTTGCTTTAAAGATAAATGACATTTATTAGTCATTTAACTTTAGGTGTTGTCTCATTTCGGTTACTGAATTATAAAAAGGTTCCAATTTTACCACTAAACTTTTTGATTATTTTTTGTCACTAAATCGTTAAATCATTAATAATGTGGTAGTGTGGTTGATATCTTTATCGTTTTCCTACAAAAAAACAGTTGACTCCTCCATTTATTGTCTCGGATCGGTCGTCAAATATCATCAATCATCGTAAGATTAATTATAATAAAAATTTATAGTAATTGTTAACTTAAATTGCAATAAAATTTTATTACATTTATTTTATAAAATTTATTGGTTATAATAAAAATTATGAATTAATATAAAAATATATTTATAACATAAAAATATATTAATTTTACAACAACTAAAAGATTAATGAAGAATAGGAGTCAAAATAATAATAATAACTATAATTGATAATGTTAGTAACTATAACATAACATTTAAAAATTTAGTGATAAAAACATAAACATACATAAATTTATTGACATTTGGTGTAGTTTGCCGTAAAAAATCATCTAGGTTTAAGATGCCACCCGCTTGGCCGCCTAGTTGCAACTTGCAACATTACAAAGAATGGTTCAAATGAATGCAGCCGAGCCGACCAAGACGATAACCGGTTAAGTTGAAAATTACATTTTTTTTTCTCTTCACTTTGGCTTTCATTTCACTGTGTACTTTTGAAGTTAAGTTTCTGGGTTGTGATGATTGAACCATGTTTTATTATTTCTGCAAAACACTAATCTCCATTAGAGGTGGAATCAGAAGGGTTTCACCAGCACCTCTGTATCTCAGTTTTATTCAAAATTGTGCAGTAAATTCATTATCTATTAGATTCATTTCAAAGATTCCAAGCAATGAACACCCATTTACAGTTTCTTACCTTATAAATTCTTGTGGGTTCTCTCCAGAATCCGCTTTATCAGTTTCCAAAACAATACACTTTGAATCCTCCGAAAGGCCTGACTCTGTTATCAGCTTCTTCAAGAACCATGGCTTCTCACAATCCCAAATCAGAAACCTCATTAGGAGAAGACCCAGATTGCTTTTTGACAAATCCTGATAAATCCCTTGTGCCTAAATTCCAATTCTTTTTCTCTAAAAGTATTTCACGTTCTGAGCTTAAAAGGGTCTTATCTTCAAATCCCCATGCTTTAGAATATGATTTAGATAACAGAATTGTCCCCGGTTTCAACTTCTTTAAGGATTTGACTCAATGTAGTGATTATAATGTTTTTCTAGCTTACAAGAATTGCTCAAGCATTCTTACACTCAATTTAGAGTCCATCTTGGCTCGTAACATCGCGGTTTTGCGAGAGAAAGGGGTGCCTGAATCGATCCTTGTGAATAAACTTATTGTTCACCCAAGAATCTTTGCTGTGAATCCTGAAAAATTCCGAAGAACAGCTGAAGAAGTTGAGAAATTGGGTTTTGATCCCTTAAAGCAATATTTCCTTATAGCACTTCAAGCTTTTATACAGATTAGCAAATCGACATGGGAAAGGAAATTTAATGTTTTTAAGCAATGGGGATGGTCTGATGAAGATATTATTTCTGCTTTTGGGAAGTATCCTAGGTGTATGATCTTTTCCGAGCATAAGATCTCCGCGATTATGGATTTCTTTGTCAACGAAATGAGCTTGAAATCTTCTTATATTGCAGACCATCCAGTTGTCCTTTCCTATAGCTTGGAGAGGAGAATTATTCCTAGGTGTTCGGTTCTTAAGGCTCTGTTATCCAGAGGTCTGATCAAGAAATACTCCGTTTGTTCTTTGTTGCTGTATACTGAAAAACAGTTCCTCCAGAGATTTGTGACCCCTTTTCAGGATCCTTATTTTTTGAAGTTATATGAGGAGAAGCAAGCTCTTTCACATTAGATACCATGATCGTAGATGCTAAAACCGAACAAATGCGACTGTCCATCATGTTTTTAGGTAAGTTTTGGTATTCTTTGTTTAGAATTGTTATATGACCAGTGAAACTTTTTTCAGCTATTAATCATTCAGTAAACTGATTAACTATCACATCTGTGTTTAATTTGTGCTTTGTAGTTTGTATGGCTTCAAAATTTGATGAACTGAAGTTTTGCATGATGATATGCATCTATGTTCTAATCTCGTCATAGTATTAATCTTCTTGCCTTGAATGAGATGTGTTGCTTACTATATTGTTTGGACTTGCATGTGAATGTCAGTTATGTGTTTCACTCTTGAGTTAATATCGTTAGTAAGGGGCTGTTTGTTTACTTCAGAATGATAAGCGCTGAATTATTCAAATGCTGAATGATTCAAATGCTGAATGATTCAGAGGCTCTGTATGAATAAACTCTGAATGTGACATGTTGTTTGATAATGACTCTGAATCATTCAGAATGTACTTCAGTGCTGAATCATTCAGAATGTACTTCAGTGCTGAATCATTCAGAACTATTTTACTGAATCAGTCAGCACTGAATCATTCAAAAGTGAGAAACAAACGCGCTGAATGTTGAACGGTTCAACATTCAACGCTGAATGGTTCCATTTATAGCCAAACAAACAGCCCCTAAGTGTCGTATATGAACCGGGGTTGGACTAAGTGCATTATAATTATTTTAGATAAGTTATTAAATATAGTTTAATATTTTAAGGGAAAGAGAAAAATAAAAGAATTTGCATACCCATTTTGTTGAAGAAAAAGACTTAAAATTTTTGGATCCTCATTTTCAAATTTTTAGATCAGCCATTGATATGAACTATTATTTTGTGTATTATTATAATGTATGTGTTAACGTTGTTGATAAGTGTTGAATCAGTCAACAAATATTTACAAATATATAATACACAGAATGATAGTTCGGTATCACATTGGATATTTTGTCATAATTCATATGCTATATTAGACAACCATGATAAAATAAGGGTTAATGCAAAAATTAGTGTTTAAATTATACCCTAAATTAATTTTAGGTGCCTAAAGAATGTTTTGTAAAAAATATAACGTTTTCTCCGTTACATTTTTTTATTAATTCTGGTTAAGTACAAAGTAATATATGTTCAAAGATAATTCAATCTTTTAACATTGAACGCTTGTACCTCTGACATTCATGGTGCTTGAAGTCGAGACCTCAAGAAATAACAACAATTATATATCACTGAGGTCACTAGGGTTCGTGCTTCGCTATACTTTTAAGTGTCTATGTAGCAATGACTTAAAAAAACCTCGTTAAGTGACATGTGTCATGTTCATATATTTTTTAAATTTTTATTTTTTAAAATTAACTTAAAAATAATATTATTATTTAAAAATACCCAAATGTTTCAAAAACATCAAAAATACCTTAAGTTTCCTAAATTCAAATTATCCAACTCCTTTGTCGGTCGTCATTTCCGTTGATGTCGGGCGCGACAACTATTGTTGCTGTTGTCGATTGCATACCCGATTTGTTTACTCGTCAATCATGTTAAAAAATATATGGTATTTATAATGAAAATATATGATTTTTCGAGTCAGGAATTCGACACGCTATTTTTTCTAGGTTTCTACGTCGGGCCCAGGTAAAAAAATCCTTTACCCGGGTATCGTCGACCTGATGCCTGATTTCTTATACATTTTTATTTTTATTTTATATTAAAATTTTTATTCTTAATTCTCAAATTATTCTAACATTTTAAATTCCTAATTTCTTAAATCATTTCACTCTAACATTCTAAAATATTAATTTTTAAAATTATTTTACCCTAAACAATCTAAATTATTTCTTTTAATTTCAAAAATTAAATTAATTATATTTTAAATAAATTGTATCTTTTAATTATACAATTTAAATTTTATGAATAGATTATGTATTATAGATTTTTAAATTTTAAATTTTTATTTATTTTTTAAAATAATATAATTTAAAAAAAATACTAAAAAAATTAACCAGATACCTATGACTTAAAAATGCAAGTACCCAAATTTTACGGATATGTAATTTATAGATACCTAAAATTGTGGATACTCGATTTTGAACACCCTTACCAAATCGACCTTACATGTCAGTCGGAACCAGTGGTTGCACATCTTTTACCGAGTTGACAGTTGGTTCTGGTCTAGTGGTGTGGGTTTATTCTCACGTAATCAAAACCTTGGAAGCGAGTTTCCCCGCAGGAATAAATCAATTGATGCTATCACCTCTGATTTCATGGAACATTACTCATCTACTCCTCTAAATTCTCTTCTCAATGAAATACTGAGCTCTTTGCCTTCTGCAATTGGGGTTGACGGGTCTTCATCATTTGAACAATCTTTTGATAAGGACACGGGACACCGAAGGAAACACCGATAACGATGCTAGTAACACACGAGGGAACAATGATGGGAATGGGACGACAAGAGATTTCTTGGGTCTTAAAGTATTTCCCAACTTAGCCGAGCTTAAATATCATCGTTTCAGCACTTCTTCTTTAATATATGGGCAACAAAACCAGCACAGTTAAACACCATGGCAAGGTTAGGCTATGGTTCTTCAGATTTCCCAAGCTCTATATATAGTGGCAAGGGCACTGCTTCATATTTCATAATTTTTTATGGAACTTGATAATTTCTTTCAATTTTAATTATAGTTCAATTGTTACATATATCAATACAGTGAATTCCTTTTTAGAACATTTGAATTCCTATACATTTTATGTAATTAAATAGTCTTTGTCCAATGGAAAACGAGGGTTGAGTTAAGTAGTGGTACGAATCCTATCCCAATATATAAACAGCGCTTGGATTTTGTCTGTAAAACAAAAGGGAGCTGCTCCCTTAATGGCTATAGAGCAGAAGAGTGGGGTGGTTACGAACGGCCCGGGGGGTGTTGGTTTGGGTTTTTTAACCTCATAGAAGGGAACGACCGGTAGATACAGTTATGGCGGCAATGACGATGACGGCCGAGAAAGAAATTAGATGATTTAAGTTTAGGGAGTTATTCGAAATATTTGAGTTTTTTTTCCGAAATATTTGAGTTAAAGGAGTTGCTCCCTTTATGGCTATAGAGCATAAGAGCGGGGTGGCTACGAACGAGAGAGGGAGGGGGACTTGGGATTTTTGACCTCATAGAGGAGGAGGATCGGTAGATATATAGTCAACGGCGGTCGACGACGGTGACGACAATAATGACAATGATGGCTGAAAAAGGAGTTGGATGATTTGAGTTTAAGGATTTTTTGATATTTTCGAAATATTTGATTTTTTAAATAATAATTATGTTTTTAAGTTAATTTTAAAAAAATAAAAAATTCAAATATATAAATATGAAATTTGTCATTTATCATAGTTTTTTTTAACTGTCGTTATTGTTTGGACACCTAAAAGTATAATAGAGAAACATTGAGCAAATATTTTTAACGGAAAATTCTTTAGATACCTAAAGTTAATTTAGAATATAATTTGAACATTTATTTTAGCATCAAGCCTTAAAATGATCTAACAAAAAAAATAATAGTACAAATATAATAAAATATTTACACACTAATTTAACACCCTTGTGCCAAAAACAATCACAATATAACAAATTTATGATTAGTGAAATGTTAAATTTGCAACATGATATATTATTGGATAAAAATACAAATTTTTGCCAATGTGTAATAATTCAAATAACAGACCGTTTTGGGTGAAGAAATCGAATTATCTTGTTCAATCAACTGCTCATTCTTTCATCATCGGAGTCCAACAAGATTTAGTTTTAGGGTTCCAAATTGCTGGAACCAGGAATCTCTTCCCTTCGTTTCCAATGGCATTGTAATTCCCACCCGTTTTAGAATCAGTAAGGACTTTTCCGGGGTCTCCTGGGGCGGCGCATTCACCAAAAATGCTTCTGCAAACCGTTGCTGGTCCGAACGGTTCGAATTCATTTCCACAGAAAAGCCATAATTTTGGGGACTGAGTACTGTATCAACCAGTGCTCCGGCAAAGGCAGCTACCATTGCATCACCCGCCATATTTTGATTTGGTGGTTTTAGGATCGGTCCCTTTGGGCCACTGTCAGCCTCGAAGAAAGGCCATCCGCATGCTCCAGGGCATTCCGTTTCAGGATTTCCCACCACGATGTATGATTGGTTGTTCTCTATGATAGAGATTATTTGATAACTTAATAATTATGTAATTTGTATGTTATAACTAAAATAATTATATAATTTACGTGATTTATTAATAAAATAAAATATAATATTTTAATTTAATTTAAAATAATACTTATTTTATAGTAAAAGTTATATTTTTAATATTTTTTTTATAATTTATTTATATTTTTCTAATTTATATTAATTGGTTGTATTTTATATTTATCCCAAGTTTTGTAAGTAGTATATAAATCAAAATTTAGTTTACAAACGTGTACTATGCTCTTACCGAGAAGGCCTTTATCGGCACATTTTCCTGCGCAGAGTCCATCGACGGTGACATCCCTGGCGGCAACGATGACGGGGAGGAGGTCAGTATCTCCATGAGTGACATCTTTGATGAGATCTGGAATAATTTTTTGCTGGGTCAAGACTTTCCCATATTTGGGACTAGTACTCTTCTGTTTCTCCGCCACCACCTTGATTTCCGGCGGTTCTCCGGGCTTGGCTCCCGGGAGTAAGGATTGGTAGCTTTCAACCACTTTCCACCATGTCTTAACTTGAGGCTGACCTTTTTTTGTGGCGGATTTCCTTTATTTGATGAAATTCCTAATCAGATTCTTCTGGACATTATCATTTTGATCCGCGTACCAAATAAGCATTAACTTCACCTTTCCGGTGAGGATTGGGCCGCCGTGATGGGTGATTTCTGTTTTATCTGTGAAGGGGTCGAAGCTGATTCCATTGCCGATACATGGAAACAACGAAAGAAGCAAAAAGAGGTAAATTATCATTGTTGCAAATTTGTTATTAGAATTGGGACGAGCCCAGAAATTAGTTGCTAACGGACGAGTTTATTTCAAATTTAAAGGAGAAAGATTATGCTAATTGAATACACTAATTTCGTCCTTATATTATACAATATATATATTTATATTATAAA